TGTACAAATTAAGTGGTTTGCATTTGATCGCTCCCCTATATATATATATATATATATATATATATATATATATATATATATATATATATATATATATATATATATGTATATGCAGTGCTTAATGAAAAAGATGATGGAAGTAGTTTGACCCTACCAACACGGTAACAAGGGACCATCTGACCGTCTGGGAAAATCCTCAGGTTTGACCATGTCCAACAAGAATAAAAATCACCCTATTCGTTGAGTTAGCTCACCGATTCGACTCGAGTCGCAGATTATTCAGTTTGGATCATAAGTTCGAATATTTTTCCAATGTTGAGTTCGAGTTCCATGCTCGTTTTCAGGTTTGAACTCGAGATCGATTAGATTGTTTGTTGACTCTCAATAAGCGTTTTGCCAATAAGGGGTCGTTTACTAAATGCTTACTTGGTAAGTGTTTACCGGATAAATTTACTTATCGGATGAACATGACAATGGTCAAAAATCTTACCGGGTAAGAGCGATGAGAATGATAGAGAGTCTTACCCGGTAAGTGAAGATTACGACTCTTACCCAGGTAAGCGCTTACCCGGTAAATTGTGTCATTCAATACGTTTTGATGTACTAAAATCTTACTCATCAAAATAAATTATAGTGTTGACTCATATAGGTAAACACTTACCGGTAAGCATTTGGGTAAACAACCCCTAAATGATGTTTAGTTTGATGGAATGATTTCGAGAGATTTGGATTTTGTGAAAAATATTTGGAATTTGAGGATTTGGATTTGGAAATACTTGGTGTCTTTGATTTATAGTATTCGGTATTGGAATTGAATTCCAATTTTTTTTAAATAATTTACTAGTTGTGTACCCGCGCAATGCGGTGGGAGCCATAAATTTTAACGATTTTGAAGTTACACTGGTTTTATAAGATAAGATTTAACGATGATATATGTTACACTTGATCTTTACATATTAATACAATTTGAATAAATAAGAGTTATGGTTCCAATTACAGACTATCAATGAAAAAAATTGTATGACGGTTTAAAATCCAATATATTTAAAATTCATCATATTTAAACGACTCCATAAATGTGTTCGATTTACACCAAGAGCAAAGAACCAAAAAACTTAAGTTTTAAGATAAACACTCAAAACCAATAAAGAAAACTACAAATTTGACATAAAATAAGCTATGAAAAGACTAAAAAGATGGCTTTTAGAATGAAATTTCAATTGCTTACTCTCTTTCTTGTCCAGAAACTCAGATTAAGGTTGAATTAATACATGTATATATATATATATATATATTTCAAAAAAACCCAAGAACATATTAATTCAAAACATATTATACAGTACAATTTGGACAATCTAACCCCAAAATATATAGTATATATAAATAAATAACTATAAAAATATAAATCATAAATATTAAAAATATTTTTTCACAATATATATAATATATAAATACAATTAAGTCAAAAACTATTCAATATTGGACTCATTTCGAAGGTATTAACGAGAMGATTATAATGGTGTAACTTGTTAAAATAAAAATGTATTTTTTAAACATGTTTTAATTGATATACGATTATGTATGTTAATTTGATAAAAGTTTAAAATGAAACATTTAAAAGTAAAGAACATAAAGTAAATTAATTAATTAATTATAGGGGTATAAAGTGTAAATTTAAAATTATAATTTAAAAAAAATCGTGAGAAGGTGAGTGTATGTGAGTGTATGTGAGAGGATGACTATATGTGAGAAGAGAAATGGGTGAAAAAGTGAGTATAAAGAGTATTTTGGTCATTTAAATTTTTAAGACTTTAAGACTTTTGCTAAATTTGCTTAATAAGATAGTATAGATAAAAACAAGTTATAAATGTTTATAAAATTAATTATATTATTTTTTTGTTAATTGATTGTTACAAGTCTAATGTTCTTAACATGTTTTAAACCATTACTAGAAGGATTTCAATGAAATTATCTATACAATCCTATAATCCAGACATGAGATTAGAATGAAATTTAATTCCAAATACAATCCAATTCAATCTTGCAAACCAAACGGGACCCTAGGGGACGTTTGCTTTGCATAATGGAATCTCTCAAAATAATTTTGAATATTTAGTTTTCAACCGGTTATCCGAGTATTTAAATGTTTAAAACTTTACATCTTAGATACCAAATGGAAGTTTTGAAAGTACGTTATCCAAAATAGATCAAGTTAAAGTACGTATTTCTATTTTCTCTATTTTAGAAAGTCCATTGAAGATATTATTATTTATTGTGTCCCAAAATAAATGTTCATATTTCTATTTTAGTTTGTTTAAAATAAGTGTTCATTTTCAAAATTAAATGTTTGCTTTCTCTTTTTATCTTTAATTATAAGACGGAGAAAATTCATTTTTCTGGTCATTAAAATTTAAAAGTAAAATTGTCTATTGGATAATTAAAAAGTGTAATGTTTCTATTTTCCTATTTCCTAATTAAAACCATGTGTATTTTTTTATTAAAAACATCTATATTTTAATTTAGGGGTCGTTTGCCTAACATTTACCCGGTAAGTGTTTACGGGTAAAATTTAACACAATCAATTACTTACCGGGAAAGATTTTAGTCCACCAAACGGTATCGTATGCAACAATTTACACCGGTAAGCGGCTACCATGGTAAGAGCCATCATCCTAACTTACTGGGTAAGACTTTTAGCAGGGACGAACCCAAATTTTTTTTTTTTACAATAGCATCATTTGACTATAAGAAAAAAAATTCAAACAGTGACACGCTTTGACTATAAGAAGCAAATATATGGAATTTTTTTCAATGGGTGGCATCATTTAACTAAGAAAATGACACTAACACGATTCGAACTTGGGTATGAGGTAGAATAAAAGTCATGCAAACCAACTCTACCAAATAAAAACTTGTTGTCATTGTAGTTTCAAAGTACATATGGTGACACATAACTGATTAATACGGTTGCACCTTTCACGAATCTTTTTTTTACCTTTCGATGGAGGAATAATATGGTGACACGTGCTATCATATGCACCACTATAGGCATGTCGCTGACGCTCAAATGGTTGAAGGGAGATAGTGCATCAAGCTGTTCGCAAGGACCAACTTGATCCTCTTCCCCAGGGATCCCCGATAAGGGAACCCTAGGAGAGCCGCCGACTCCTCTTGGTCATTGGCTCGTTCTTATTGGATAAGATTCTTTATATTTACCAAATTCATCTAATAAGGTAATATGACTTGATTTTCATCTATCTTAGTAAGTATTTGATAAACGACTCATTTGTAGTTTTTAGTCCTTTAACTATTTAATAGTTGTTGACTTTAAAAAATAAATTGAGTTTAGGAACATTTTTGAAGTCCAATAAATATATTACAATTAATTTGATAAAATATTTTAATATTTCACCCAAGATTTCAAAGGAGACATGATGTTTCTTGGGCAGTTTATAAATATATATATATTAATGGGATGAAGAACAAAATAAGATAATAATGACAACTTGATACAAACAATTTAATGAGTTAATTAAAAAAACAAAAAACAAAAACAAGCATAATTAAATGCAATGAATAAGAAACAACCACCCAATCATTTTTATTAATGTTCCAATACAAATAAACATAGACAAAAACAAATAAAAAATAGTTAAAATTTTATGTTATATATATATATAGACTTGGGATCATGTGAGACCAAGGCTTTTTCGTGAGACCCACAAAACCAATTATCAACTCTTTGATTAGATCTACAATCTGAACATTCATAATCACAAAATTGCCACGAGACTT